AAGGTGCCAACTAGAATATGGTTTATATCTAAGTGCAAATCCTAATTTAATAACTATCTGCCATTGTTATGTGGGTAGTGAAATCTGAATATATAAACTTAATATGAAATTTAAGGATATAATGTTGTAGTTATAAGACACCATTTTGGTATAAAATTGTTGATAGTGAGACTTTAAATTCTGAGAATATCTTTGGAAATTATTTAAACTTGGAAAAATTTTCTAAGAGCAGGAAAAACTTGGTTCAGAAAAGTTTTTTGTACTAATTTGTGTCAGATTTTCAGGTTTTATTCTACCATAATGGAACTGATGAGATATTTCAGAAAATGTACTACATAAGGGAAAGAAGTATTAAACTTGTTAGACTGAAAAAGCTGTTCCACAGGGGCATAGGTAGTGTTCCAGTCTGCACATGCATTAGCCAATTACGTATTTGCAAGCTGAAGACTGTCTCATAAGGGTATCAAATAAATGAGCTGATGAAGGAGCTGCCTGGACAGTTAATATTAATTTATAGTAATTTCTGAAACAGTGGGAAATTTCCAGAAAGCTGTAATGGTGCTGCTGTTGTGCTAGTGTTTTGAAAGGATATATGGGACAATATCAGCTTCACGCTGATCTTGGATAGAATAAGTTAACAGGACTATATTGACAGAAAACTAAGTGAAGGAAACATAACTGACGTCAATCATTATTGTTTTATAGAAGATAACATGCAAACCAACTTAATTTTTTTTTGAGTGGTGTTGAAGTTACCCTATTGATTAATAGCAGTTATAATGTTGGCATAGCTGAGATCTGCAAGTCTAGAGTTTTGCAGAAAGATATTTTTATTATGAACTTAGTGGTAGAAACATCTGGATAACTCTTCCCCTTTTTTTTTTAACTCTCAGAAACCCTCATTGAGACTGTATGTTAGCCATTTTCCATTCATATAGCAATGAGATCTGGCACTCATCCTCGAGTTCCTTAAACCTTCTTAAATGATTAGCATTGGCTCTTGGCAGTTCACTGCTATTCCTTTTGTTGATTTATCTCTAGAATATTTTGTTGACGCTTCAATTTGAGTAATTTCTCTGGTATTTGCCCAATGATGGGGAATTTTAGGTTGGCTATCTCATGAAGCTCCTCCACAGTAAATATAGAATAAGTTTACATATTATTTCTCTATTCCAACTGTCCTTCTTATATCTCAGTGTCAGGCTTCTTGTTCCAGTGTTATTTATTAGTTTTTATGCCTTCTGTGAGGCACTAAATCCTCTTTAGCATGCTTTTAATGTCTAACTTTATGTTCTTTTTATTTTCTTAATTTAAATGCAATTCAGCTTTTTCAAGGACATCCTTCTTACTTTGGCCAGCTTCTTTTACTGGCTGTTTAATCGGTCCTTCTTCTGTTTGTGTGAACTTTCGGAAGTCTTTCTTGAACAGGTTCTGTGGCATCCAGGAATACCAAAGTTTTCGTAAATAAAAGAGTTTCATGTAAGAAAAGGTGGGGTTTTTCCTATTCATTCTGTGCTCCTCTGAAAATGAATTTATTTGTTATGGAAAAAAAATAGTCATATCGTAGAGCAGTGCAACTGTGCAGAAAAGCAAAGAAAAACATCAAGGGACGTATATATTTATCAGTCTAGACTTCCTCATATACAGGACTGTGCTAAGAGGCTGTTTCAGTTTGTGCTCTAGACTGGTCTTCAATCAACCTAGAGGTATTTTAAGGCTCTACAGACTGTGGCAAAGTTATTTCATGGATGTTACTTAATAAACTACGTAATTACAGAGAATTGTTTTCTTTAGCTGACTTGTATTTTTGCTGTTACATTTTCAATCCAGAATAAGAAACTTTGGTTTATTAACAACTGCCATAAAGCAATTCTAGCTTAGCTCTTTAGTTACTGGACAGGAATTAAGGAAATTGATGGATTAATGATAGCTAGACTGTGGTTATTCTTTTAAAACAGCTATACTGCTGGGATCTTCTACCTGGCTTGTGTGGGATCAGTCTTTTGAGTCGCTGCATCACATCTGTTGGTATTTTAGTAAGAGTTCACTGCTTCACCAACCTGCAGAAATCAGGATAAATAGCTGAGGTCAGTACTTACAAGCCAGGAAGGATTCACGACTACTTGTTTTCCAGCACTTAAAATTTATCATATTTGAACTACACCATCTCCCTTAGCTAGACCATCCAATCCTGCTTTAAAGCGAATCATATGTTCTGTGACACTTATAGTATCTTGAATCCGATACTGTAGGACAGCAGCTGTTCTCTCACTTAAGCAACTGTTCGCTTGGATATTAAGCAGCTTCCATCTGGCTGGAAGTGGCTACTAGAAACCCAGTTTAAACAAGGATTTAAAAAAAACTCTCCTTAACTGGTGACTTGAATTCAAAGCCCTCAGAAGCATCTCTGTGAAAAAGTCATCTACCAATCCACAAAAGCATTTTGAAACCAGACTGATTAAGGAAACTGCAGAACATGTAACATAGATGAGCAGACAGAACCAGTTCATGCAGACGTAATTAAAAATTTGCTTAAATTAGGAGGACTAGTAATGCTGTCTAGGGATGTGTGTTACTAAAGGTCAGCAACCTGCCCTCTGTGTGACATGGATTCTGCTCAGTTCAGGATTTCAGTGTTCTGTGCAGTCGGGGAAAGACTGAGGTGAAGAGAGAGATCTGAAGGGGACTTTGATACAGCCTGAAACAGAAATTTGGGATTAATCTTTCTAGAACATTGAAAAACTGACAGCCATAAACGTCAGAAATTATCCTTTCTGTTTAAGATGCCTTGTCTCCAATGAAGACAGTTTTCATGGACAAGTAATACAGAATGTGTTTAGAAGAACTTTCTGCATCTTTTCTTATGGAGCTGTAGAAAATCCTCAGTATTGTTGGGGAAGTGACCAAAGCAGTAGGAAGACATGTTAAATGCGCAAAATAGAATCTCACCTATCATGGGCACAGTCAAGTCACAACTCCATAAAGTCGGTATCAAGAGGAACAGATAACACGAGCTGTACATATGGGTGTACCTCCCACTGGTTTCTCATCTTGTGGTCAGGTTAGATGGCATTCACAGGCTGTTTTGGTTCCCTTAGTTGGAAGGGCAAAACAAGAAGTAGCATTCATGATGTAAGAACTAATCCAGAGCAGTACTGTGGACTTCGTTATGAAGGATAGCCGGCTAAATTATTGCAGAGCTTCTTCCCATCTGTGAGTTTGCTCTCGTTTGCACCAACCAGCAGAAAACGTACCTGTTGCCCAATCCAGTAGCCCAAGAGAAGCAAGGCTGCAGCAGCTCCATGTCCTCAGGTCCAACCCGTAGCGAGCCTAAGCATGTATCCCCAGTAAGCATGTGCATGCATGCCCAACATGTATACAGTCCATGCATACGCACACACAGAACATCACAGACAGAAAACAGCGCTCATGGAAATATGAGCAGGACCAGTGGCCTCCTCCCCTTTGCCCTTCCCGCTGAGCGGAATGCAGGCCCGTTAGTGGGAACACAGACGGACCGATAACGCCCATCCCTCCCGCTGCTGCGCTTAGACACACGGTCTACCCAGCAGCTGCCCGCTGGATCTCTGCCACGCCTGCCCTGCTCCAGTGGTTGCTGCAAACCACCCTGCCTTGCGCCCAGCTGCCCACCCCACCCCACCATGGATCCCTCCAGTAACCGGCCTTGGACAACCAAGTCTGCCTCGTCACTGGCCCTTGGATCCTCTTGCCTCCAGTTGCTTCCCGCACAGAGACCAGACAGACACACACAACAGCCCAACCTCTCCGTCAGTGCCCCCCTCCCACTTCATGGAAACCAGGTTCCTTCTGCCCTCAGATGGAGGGTAAAAGGGACTTTTAGAACAGATCCCCATAGCTTCTCAGGAAGTACCTGAAGTACCAATTGTTTAAAAAAAAAAAAAAAAAAAAGAATCATACAGATTCCACGAGTACACTTTAGGAATGTATTTAATTACAAAGTGGTTTTGATCATCTACTTAGAACATTATACCCGCCCCCCCCCCCCCCAAAAAAGGAAAACTTTCTCTTCCTACAAAATGCAGTCATTTTCCTCATTTGTTGTGAAACAATATTAACCAAATGGTCCATTTGCTGGAACAGTTACAATTTCTTTATCACACACACAAATGAAAGCCTGGGGCTTTACATCAGTGGCCACCGTCTGTAACGTGAAGCACTGGGCTGCACCCTGGTCTAGGTGCGTTTTATACCACAGCTAACCTTTGTTACCTAAGATCACTTCTGCTTGACTTGTCTCACATTTGATCTAAAGGACATATTTGGTATTATTACAATGTCTATTACTGCTTGCTCAAACAGACACAGTTCTCACGTTTTCTGAATAGTATCAACTTCTACAAGATAAAGAGACGAGATTTAAGTATTTTAAGGTACTTTTATTAAATAAATAACCAGTAATAGCACTGTAAAAAGTGAACATCTGTTAAAACAAAAAGGCACTTAAAACAAGGATATGACGATGATGCAGTTTGAATGGTCAAAGGCAAATATACATGGCACATGTCAAGAATGATGTGTCACTCATGTCACATGAAAAACTACGCAATCTTAGCTACAGGGTAAAGGCAAATTTACAGCTAAGACTGCCC